TTCAACTTGCAAATTTCAGAATGTTCACCACAGATAGAACTAGCGTCCGCCAACAAAACCTGACCTCTCAAGGTTATTATTCAAGGTCAGACGCGGCTGATAGGACGGGGAACTCCATATCACCCAAATGTCCTCTTGCGCTTGTTAATAGGTTGTGCTAATAAGTTTTTTTGTTTTAAATCGGCCCCTAATTATTTGATTATATCGAGTCCCCAGTCCTTTGTGTCCGCGTTTAACCTTGAAGGATGACGTTGAAGGTTCAGGACTTTCTGACTGACGTCAGTTCCTTGTGTTAAATATTCTGGCATTCGCAAGCTGAAAATCGGCCTGTACTTTTGATGCGATATCGAGTTCCCCGCCCCTTGAGCCCGTATTTGACCTTGAAGGGTGACCTTGAGAGGCCAGAACTTTCTGATGGACGCTAGCTCTTTCTGCGGTGAATATTCTGGCATCTACAAGTTGAAAATCGGCCGGTAATTTTTGGGTGATATCGAGTTCCCGTCCTTTGAAGTTGCGTTTGGCCTCGAAGGGTGACCTTGTGGTGTCAGGAATTTTTTATGAACGCCATCTCTTGCGCTTGTGAATATTTTGATGCTTATACTTTTCAAATCGGCTGGTAATTTTTGGGTGATATCAAGTTCCCCATCCTTTGAGCCCGTGTCCGACATCTAAGTGCGACCTTGAAATGTCAGGACTTTCTGACGAACGCTAGTTCTTTCTGTGGTGAATATTCTGGCATCTGCAAGTTTAAAATCGGCCGGTAATTTTTGGGTGATATTGAGTTCCCCGTCCTTTGAGCCCGCGTTTGACCTGGACGGGTGACCTTGAGATGTTAAGACTTTTTGCGGACGCTAGGTCTTGCGATTGTGAGTATTTTGATGGTTATAGTTTTTAAATCGGCCGGTAATTTTTGAGTGATATAGAGTTCCTTGTCCTTTGAGCCCACGTTTGACCTTGAAGGGTGATCTTGAAAGGTCAGGACTTTTTGACGGACGCTGCGACGGACAGGCGGACGGATGCTGACTCTTTCAGTGGTGAATATTCTAACATTTACAAGTTGAAAATCGGCCAGCAATTTTTCAGTGATATAGAATTCCCCGTCTTTTAACCCAGCTTTTGACCTCGAAGGTCACATGATATTGCAAAATAAGGGTCATTTTTGGTGTTTTCATGACATGATTGACCTCCACACCTTTTTCAGAGGAATCGCAAGTCGTCGCTGAATAAATCGCGGAATAAATCGCTAACCTCACGGACATGCTCAGTTGGCAATTACAGGCCCTCGGATCAGATGAACCGAGGTGTAGCAGTTACTAGAGTCAGTCTGGACGCAACGTGCACGTGGTCTTTGCAGGATGTGATTGTGGTAAATACCGCCAAAATCGAGATGTTATTGTGTGACACCGTCGACAGCTCAACCAAATCCGGGAGCATCCGTTCATGGTGTTGATGGATTAGGTATTGCAATGTTCAGAAGTTGTGCAAAATCTCGGAATCATAGTGGACCCACATCTTGAGCCGTTACATAGAACAGGTGATGAACAAATGCATTGGCATTTTAATAGGCATTCCCAGTGCTAAGCACGCACTTCCTCCAACCGTGGGTCATCGATGCCCCGGTTCTGTTCCATGCACATTATTGTGTCCAAATGTATTACAGTGCAAGTCGTTCGAAAATCTCAAAGCTGCAGATTTTCAACTTCGCTGCCTAGGTCATCCCAGGTCGACGAAAATATGATTATGTATCGAATATACTCGATTAGGCTGGCTGCCCACGCAAAAGTTGATGTCTTACTTTGTTCTCCGCCTGCTGCACAGCGTACTGATCACTGGAGAGTCTGTCGTGGTACGCTCGGCGCTAATGCACAATCGTGAGCGCGTGGTCTGAGACACGAGGCAGTCACACCATCTGAACCTGCTTCGTGTGAAAAACAACGATGGGAAGACACAATTGATGTATTGCGCAGTGCAGGAGGAGCAAAACGAAACCCCTCACTCGAGGCCTATCTAGCACTTCAAAGCGTCAGTTCAGAACTAACTGTATTCGTAACATAATTCGACAAGCTTGACTTCTTCTCAGCAGGCGTGTGTCTTGTGCTGTAGGTGGCTGCAGTGGGAGGGAGGGTGGCCTAGTGTTTTTAGTCACATACGACCTGCACTACGACTATGCAAGTTGGCGGGAGCTGAAAATAGCCCATTTGTTGTGGTTTGACCCGATCGTGTGCAATGCAAAACACACACACACACACACACACACACACACACACACACACACACACACACACACACACACACACACACACACACACACACACACACACACACACACACACACACACACACACACACATATATATATATATATATACATATATATATATATATATGTGTATATATATATATATATATATATATATATATATATATATATATATATATGTATATATTGTCCTTGTGAGATATTTACCGGACAATGGAAGCACACTCTTATTGTATTAAAATGACTACAGGAAATGTTATGATTGCGGTAATTGCGTGAGTGATCATAATGAGGTGCTTTATCATTAACGTTCTGAGGAACATAGTTTGTGTTGTCACCAGAAATGCATGTGCGCACAAGTAGAAACAGTTAAAAAGCCAATATTAAAAACCAAAACAAATTGCGCAGAGACATGGCGTATAGTATTAGGATAAAACACACTTTCCCATGAGATGCACCAGTCTGGGTCAGAAGACTCAATCTGAGACCGGTATGACGGTCCCAGTCTGGGCCGGGAATGACGGATAACCATATCGAGTGTATTTCTTAAAATTGTGGTGTAATGATAATAAGCGCAGTTAGCCACTGACCCCCTGACAGCGCCACACAATCACTATCGACCCTGCACCGGTCCCGCCACGCAAGCAAGGCAGGAACCACTGTTCGGCGCCAGGCACGCCACAGGACAGAACATGTACGCACGCGGCCGAAAGACGGCGCGCCGATGCATCCCCCATCCAGACAGCTTTCAGCTTCGCGTCACCCCTGCCAATCAGGTCAGCTCATCTCAGAGCCAGCTTCTGCCCAGCTAACCACCGTCAGCTTCGCGTCACCCCTGCAAGTGAAGTGAACTGATTTCGGTGCCATCTCCCGTCCAGCTGACTGGCAGTGATGTACAGTGCAGAGCACTCGACCCCGCTGGCATACCTGCTACGCCGTTGCGGGCTTGCGGCCCATGAGTCCCAGCATGCGGACGGGCTCGGCGGACGGGGAACCGCTGACGTTCCCAGACGCGCCGGCATCTGCAGCTCATCGACGACATCCCGGTGGCCTCGCAGCCCGGCCAAGTCCTGCAGCACCGCACTGATGGTCTGCTGAATTGGCTCCAGCAGTGGACGTACTGCCATACTTCAAGTGACCGGCCAACCAAGCTTGATAGTCAGTCGCCGCCACAAGAACGTGGCACAACACCTTTGAATTTCATCAAGTGCAGATGGGCCATCTGGTGTCGATATTGCGCCAGGGTAGATGCTTGGTCGAACACAGTTAGCATTTATCCGTTGTGTATGCGTGTTAAAACGATGCGGACATGCGATCATGGCTGGCGGGTTCGCTTGGCCGCGGATGTCGGACAACGCTCTCACAGCAGACCCACAACGCCACCCGGGGCGTCCAGCTGCATCAGCGCTGGCCGGCTGTGCAGCCGCACGCCCTCGTTGACAGCCACTGCCCGCCCGCCACTAATGGCTGCCTCGAGGGCCGCCACTGGTCGGAGCATCGAGCACGCGTCCACTTCCTCCTCTGCCTCACCGGCCGTCGCCCCACCCGAGGACCACGCCTCTTCTGTGTGCACTCGTCGTCAGCTGCGCAGCAGTGAGGCCGCCGGCCATCTCGGCCGGCACTCGACCGGCACCGGAGCGATTTGCTTGCTTTACATGCAGCACAAGGGTGGCCAATCTTACCACACCAAAAGCTTACGCGCGTGCGGAATGGTCACTGTTCAGGCCGATGATTTCGTCGGAGGTAGTGGGACCACGGGTCGTCACGTGGTCCTTGGGTGTACAGTTCGGTGCTGCTGGCCACCGTCGGTCGCCCCCTGCTGGGGCACTCAGAGGGCTCAGGCGGCTGGCCCTTCCGAGTCCTGGAAAGACCTCCTCATCGTCGCCCGCCCCTCGCTGGGGGTCACAAGGACCTGGGGTCTCTCCAGCTGGCCCTCCCGAGCCCTGGAGAGACCTCCTCACCGTTGTCCGCCCCTCGCTGGGGGTCACAGGGAGCTGGGGTCTCTCCAGCTGGCCCTTCCGAGTCCTGGAGAGACCTCCTCACCGTTGTCCGCCCCTCGCTGGGGGTCACAGGAAGCTGGGGTCTCTCCAGCTGGGCCTCCCCAGCCCTGGAGAGACCTCCTGATCGTCGGCCGCCCCTCGCTGGGGGTCACAGGGACCTGGGGTCTCTCCAGCTGGGCCTCCCCAGCCCTGGAGAGGTCTGACCGGCCACGGAGAGCTGCTGCCTTGCTGGCTATCGCGACCAAAGGGGCGGAGATGAGCGCCAGACGCCGCTCGCTAGGCCGCCGGCACTGCGGGAGTCCGATACGGGTGCAGCTAACGACCCCGACGCGCACAACAGATCGGTGTCGTCGAAAGCTGTCAGGTCGTTAGCCTCGAACAACTGCTCCGGACGCCTCTCATATAACTCTCAATCTCTCCGTCCCAAAGCTCAGGCACGGACGAGGCCACGACAAACACCACGGCGAGCTCGGTGGATAAAACGTGGATACAACACTGATATCTGGAGCCGAGCTGGTGCCTGTTCGCACAGCGCCGGGCGCGGTCACGCCGTGAGCCGACCACAGGTGGCGTGGGTGACTCGCCAACGAGGCACAGTGCGACTGCGCACGGGTGCCACCGCCTCTGAGATGCCCCTCAGTACATTACTCGCAGCCTATAGTATCCACAGCACATAGCACATTCAACTGATCGTCATGCGTTATGTGTGTTTACTCAAAATTCATTTGAATTCATTCTTGTATTCCATTTCAAGACACATACTCGTTCGAGCAGGCAGTTATGATGTCCACCAGTTCACTCGAAGCGACGCTTGACCAATGCCGCACATCATCACTGACTGGGGCGCCGTCGATTGGCGATCCTTCCGATCACCATAGCGAAGCCGTGACGACATGTGCAGAAACATGAACTGGAGCATCGCCCACAAAACAAGCAGGACATGCAGGTACGTTCAGCACGCGAACCCAGACCACGGCATGTCCCATACCTCAGGACTTCCATAAAAACCAAGGTGATTCCTCCCTACCCCAACCGAAATCATTAGAGTATTCCTTGGTTGCACACTATAAACATTGAGAACAGGTTACACTGGACGCCAGCGTCCCAGCCAAGTGCGATGGGCGCGAATGTGGGCATACGACGCACACATGTGTCCAATCTCCGTTCCACCGAGCGACGCCACTTTAACCCCGAGAGGCATGGCGCCAGCATCGCCAGATTCGAGCAACATCTGGACAACATCGAACATCAGAGCGAGTGCCAGCAATGGCACTGAAACAGACCAGCCCAGCTGGGAGACGCCGAGATGCCTTTGCCGCACAGCCGGCACAATGTTGTCCAGCCAGGAGCGCCGGACACGGGCTCAGTCGATGGCCCCAACGCAATCACGCCTCTGCCGGTCACTGAGCCACGGCGTCCGCAGTCCCTCGACGAGTCCGCTGCTGAGGCGGTCTCAGTGACCCACTCAACTGAGACCACTGTTTGGGCACTCGGGGTGTGCCACGCTACAGCACCGCTGCTTGGGAGGTCAGAACAAACTGCTTCAAATGTCCATCACCCCGCAGATGAGAACGAGCCATTTGACTAATGAGATCATTCCCGACAGGTCAGAGTCAATCACACCAACAGGGTCAGTGCCAGGAAGATCACTATTTGGTTCTCCAGACCGGTCGTTGTGCCGCACACCAACGTAGAGCCCACTGTCAATCCCCAGCCAGTAATACTGGGCCACCAGCTGTCCTGATCTGCTGACGATGCACCTGTTCTCGGTCCTGGCGCAGTCCACTCCGCTCTTGGTCTGCCACCCTGGAAGCAAGCAAAACAAGCTTGACACAAGGCGTGATCTTCTGATACAGCTAGAAATCGGACTACAGCAGAACCTGGTTCACCGCAATCTGGTTCACTTTGTTTTCTCCACCATTGTATAATACTGGGTGACGCTCATACACGACCTCATAGACGACCACACTAGCGTCTTGCCACCCGCTTGTGAGTGGCAGTCTATCTTACTGCCCAAACTCCGGGGCTTCTATGGCCTCCTTGGATCCGCGATGGCACTGGGTCAGGCATCCTTCCGGCTGTTCTCGGCTCTTGTTAATTGGAAGCCAACTCCTTAATAAGCGGTGGGGGATATTGTGCCACCAAGTTTAAAGTAAAGCTGCCTTAACAGACTGGCGGTCCTTGAACCGACAATCTTACTTTTTATAAAGATATGTTGCATGGAATTTGAAATGTCATTTCGGACGCAATTTTTATTCTCCAAATTTGCCTTTACTTTTCCACGTAACGTTGCGCTACGTTGCTGCTGCTATTGTTCGTTTGACATTTTCTTTGTCTGTCCTATGCTACTCTACGTCGTTTTTTGCTCATTGTACGGTGAAAGAGTGATAACATTGGTCTAATTCTAAAAAATGAAATCCTCTCAGCCTCGACATAATGCAAGCATGGCTATGAATGCCGTTTCGTTCGTAACGATAATGAAAACCCAGCAAAATAAAACATTTGTTGAGTCAGTAGGCTAAAATGCTCCTTATAATTTGTCTTTTACCATTGCTACGAGCAAAATGCTTTTCGTACTGTTAGCTATCTCGAGACTCAGTTACTTAACTCATCGACATTTTGATCAAAATCATCGCCAATTATGGCTGATTGACGACGAATATGACACCAACTTGTTCGTGACTGACCTCAGGCGTGTCACCTGGTGACGGAGAAGGGGTAGGCGCGGATAACTGAGGCTGCCAGACAGAGCAGCCAGCACCGGGCGTTTCGGAGAAGGCTCGCACCGCCGCTGGTTTTCCTCTGGATGGCGGCCATCTTGTCTCCTGTGATAAATACACCAAAATGAAAGATCTTTGTGATATTTAAGACCATCTCATGCCTCGTTGGACATAAATTAACATGAAGGGCAAGGGTGATTGAATACAGATATCTTGTCCCCTGCTGCAAATAAATCAATGTGGAAGACAAACGTTAAGGGCAAAGACCAGTGAGCGTCGACCATGCCGTGGTCCAAGTTTTCCGGACAGGCTTTCAGCGACCCCAGGCACCGAGACTATACTTGACTGGGTCGGTGCAACCATCATTCTCCGGCTGCGGAGAACTAGTGGTGATGCTGGAGCTTCATCAGTCGGTGGCACTGAATGTGACGCGGCTTCTTCATTTCCTTCTATGCTGATGATAGCAGCAGGTCGAACCACCCAGTGGCTCTCAAGATACACAATCTCCAATTGTTAGGTTATGGGCAGTCATCCTGGTAGCCACAGGTGGGTTGTTATTTATCGACGATGTCGCCCAGGTGGTCTCATAAAAAATCAACACTCCCTGTTTCCCCTTACGGTATAGCCCAGCCCTCGCTTCCGGGAAAAGACAGGAAACGGTGCGATAGACTGTTGCGCTCAAAATCACCAGCGTTAGTCACCAGCCATTCTCTAAAGGCAGGAAACGGTGCGATAGACTGTTGCGTTCAGAAGCACCAGCGTTAGTCACCAGCCGTTCTCTAAAGGCAGGAAACGGTGCGATAGACTGTTGCGCTCAGAAGCACCAGCGTTAGTCACCAGCCATGGTCTGCTACCCCAGAGCGTCAGCCGGGGTGCCACGGCACCTGGGCCTGCCTCATAATCGTCGCCGCTCAGGTTCAGCGGACCCGACAGCCTATTCCTGACTCCCCGAGGAACTCTCCACGCCCACTACTACTGGGAACCACAGGTGCGGGCCCGTAGGTGATGCCATCTGGTGGTCCAAACCGCAATACAACGGACACGGCATATGATATCGATATTTGACGCCGTGGTGTAAAACGATGCTTACGTCGACAGCGGAACTTTTCCTCTGCACTGAGGCGACGTTTTGCAAAGTTAGTAGGGAGGAGGCTTGGGCGGCGGAAAAGGCTAAACCTACGCACAAATTACGCTAAAAACGTGTTTCTATCCGGGCTTCGTCCCCTTTCCTCTCAAAGCTGGAGTGCACCGACCCAACTGCACATGAAAACCCGCTCCTGTCCCCGCACAGACCTAACTACGTCCGCAGCCGTGCGCCCATCCTTCCGGAGGGAGGTGCCCCGCACAACGCTGTCCGCCGGCCGGAGGGAGGTGCCCCGCACAACGCTGTCCGCCGGCCGGAGGGAGGTGCCCCGCACAACGCTGTCCGCCGGCCGGAGGGAGGTGCCCCGCACAACGCTGTCCGCCGGCCGGAGGGAGGTGCCCCGCACAACGCTGTCCGCCGGCCGGAGGGAGGTGCCCCGCACAACGCTGTCCGCCGGCCGGAGGGAGGTGCCCCGCACAGCGCTGTCCGCCGGCCGGAGGGAGGTGCCCCGCACAGCGCTGTCCGCCGGCCAACAGTCAACTGCACCGTCGACCGCGCCCCTCGCCCGACAGCCGTAAAAGCATCCGCGATAATTCGCTCGGAAACCACCGACCGGCTGTCCAAGACTGGCGACAACTTGCCGGGACGGCTCGGACGATGTATGAGGGTGGACAAAGTGCCGGCGAAAACTTGGCTAAGCAGATTAGTTGGAGAGTTGGGTCTGGTAGGGCCAGAACAGAACACCACTGAATACGACGTCGAGCACAGCCGCCCGGGGATCCCGCTTGGAAGTGCCCTGGGCAGCGAAGAGCGTGCGCTGGGGGCTTTCCTTTCTCGGAACACAGGCACCTGTCAACTGTTGCGTGCTTGGTGTACAGGGAAGACAGCACAGTACTGGCAACACTAGGGGACATCAGTTGCACCCGCTGGACGGGAGACAGGCTAGTCCAATGCCTGAACAGGAAAGAGACCGCTCGGCGCACTGGCTGGATGGGAAAGAGACCATTCCCTGGCTGGACGGGAAGAGACCATTCCCTGGCTGGACAGGAAAGAGAACATTCCACTGGCTGGACGAGGACGGAACCATTCGATTGGCTGGACAAGGACGGAACCATTCGATTGGCTGGACAAGGACGGAACCATACCATTGGCTGGACAGGAAATATGCTACCGACTGGACGGGAAAAGCAGACCTTCCATCCGACCGGTGCCGACTGAAACGGAGGTGGCGCCAGGCACTCTCCGGTAGTGATTGTATAACAGGAACGATATTTGCGTGTTATGTCCGGTGGTCGTCACGACGGAGAGTTCGGAGCTGTTGCCGATGGTCTGTTGCAGGATAAAATTGTTGCCAGCTCCAAGAATAGCAAGGATCAGGCTGTTTGTTCAAATGACGTTTTAAATGCAAAGCCACAGCCGCCAGTGCATGTCACAAACTTCGTATGAATACTTGGCGCCTATCCTGTTGCATCTCCCCACAGCACATGCTCCCGCGCAACCGCAGCATTTTTAACAGCTTGTTCGTACACCGCTGCAAAACCGCTCCCGGTGTTAACTGAGCTGACCTTGGGAGACACATGCTTCCATGGAAGTATTGCTAATATACTATCCTCGCCTTGTGAGACGCTTACGTGCGCGGCGTGGTATCCTTATTTGCTCTCCTTAAGCAAATACGGATAAACATAGAGCACGAAGGCGAGAATAGATGTTACCTGGCTCACCTTGTAAGGCACATATGAGCATGAATGGGAGGATAGGCGTTAGCTGTGCTCATCTTGTGAGACGCACACGTGTGCAGAGGCGAGCATAGGTGTCAGCTGTGCTCACCTTGTGAGACGTACACGTGCACGGAGGCGGGGTCCGTGTTGGAGGGCTTGCAGCTGTAGTTGCCCGAGTCCTCCAGCGTGGCGTCCGTGATGGTGAGCCTGCTGAACGTCTTCTCCTTGGACTCGGTATCCACGCTGATGCCGCCTCGGTGCTTGTCGTAGTTAATCATTACGTCGCCGTGGTACCAGAACACGAAGTTAGGCGGTGTGGGGCTCTGGAAAGGAAGCGTGCTTGTAACAGGTGGTATTCTGCCTATCGAGATTGCTTATGATCATATTATCAAGCGCGGAACCTCGTACCAGTATAACAAAAGAAATGCTTTCCCAGGAAGCCGCTAGATAAGGAAGACATTTCACAAGACAGAGCCCCATGTGAGGCGGTCTCAGACGTTGCCCCTATCCATGTCTGTGTTCCGTTCCACGGATGGCCAACAGCTGGCTCCAGTTGTCGCCGAAAAGTCACCTGGGGCGTCCAATTCACAATATGTGGGTTTGAAACATTTGAGGAAAGCACGAGCTGACGTCACCCCCTGGGCTGTCTCGTATCTCAGTTCTAGCGCCCTGTAAGCTGTTTGTTTTTCCTAAACATTCTGTTGAAGGTGACACGCGGCACGTGTTATGCCAACGTGTCCCAGGAGACAGCGTAACTCGTAATAGCTCTTCGAGTTACATGCAGAATAACACTTCATTGTTGTCGGTCGTGCCAAACATGGCCGTGTTTTCGATTAATTAGCCCTCGTTGCTGAGTGCCTGTACGAGACCAGGATTTCTTCACGTGGAATCTGCACCAACAGTCTAGAGGACAAATTGCCATGATTTATTATACAGGCCAGACAAACCGCTTTCAGGATCAGGAAGCTTAGCGGGGATGGACACAACGTGTAAAAATGGAGACGCGGTACGCATCAGTGTTCCTTTGCTGTCACATACATAGATGTCAAACAACCAAGAATACCATGGAACGGCGATTACAGTTGTCTGAAACATACTCAAGACGGCCATCATTTTCTGCAATCGTTCATTCCAGTCGAATGTGCCCGAAAGTACCGCCGGAAACGCACGTCCTTATTCCATTCCAGCGGCACAACGTAATCTACAGCACGCACGAGTTTTAAGAACGCTGATACTGTTACAACGCTTGACAACAGACATCGAGGGCACTATCGATCAACCTAGACTAATCACTAAAAGGCGTTTGATCTTGCATGTACGAAACTAGCTAAAACCTGTTCCAGTGTCTAAAAGTGCGACCGTCTGAACTCTCTGAGCGCTGCACGCCATCCGAAACATCCACCGCGTATGGTCATTATATCGTGACATCACCATGGTGGGCGGCGTATGACGCCACTGAGCGGTGACGTCGGCGAGTGTGACGTCAGCGCGACGGCCGCCACCTTGCCGGCACGGTTCGCGCGGGCTGAGTGATGAGAGCGGCAGAGTGGCACGACATCAAGCGAGCCGCGGTGCTCCGTCATCTGCCCGCCCCTGGTCCGCGTGCGATCCATACCGAACAGCGGTCCAGAGCGCGGGCGCAGGGCACCTGCGGGCGCCCAGGCGCGCCCCGTTCCCGCGCTGCGACGCCCCCGTTCCACTTGGCTCATCATTGTTGCGTCGATTTGGCCAGACAACTTCTGAGCAGGCCCGCACCGGCCTGCTCAGACCGCCGGTGCGGGCCTGCTCAGACCGCACCGGCCTGGCCGACGCGCTCCTGTGGAGCTCTCTGCATGAAAATGCGATCGGGTGGAGCGAGTCGTTAACCTAACTTAATCGGCTTCAGGCGTGGGCGGCCAAGTCGGCGGCTGTCGGACGAGGTGGTCGACGGCTGGTGCTGTTGTTGCGGCGGTGCGCCGGATTTGCAGCTGCGCCGGCGGAATGGCTCGTTAATGCGCTCAGCCCCGGTCGAAGGAAGCGATGCGGCCCAGATTGGGCCGGTGATGGTGCTGTTGTCCGCCCAAGCAATTCCAGATCGAGCACGGAATGGAGCGTGGGGCAAAACGGTGTAACGGAACATGTGCATTGTCGATGGGCTACATCTCAGTTGCATGGATATGCAGATCATAAGATTCTCTCATATAGCGACTGAGTCATCCTGCAAAGTGTGCGCTACATGGTCACGTGGCCTCCCGGCTGCATTTAACATAGCGCGCTGCAAGAAAGAATGCATTGCAATAACATGATTTTCACCAGCATTTGACAGCCTTAGAAGGTCAGATGGAAACGGCAATTTCTGATCATCAACAGTACGCATAAAATGTGCAGGATGTTTGCATGAGGAGCGTGATTTTCCATCATGTACGGCAAATCAGATATGCAGAGCGCAAGCTCATGCATACTGTATTCCGAAGCAGAATTAAAAAGTCGCCTTGTCCTGACAAGGCACGTGTTTCTAAGTACATTCACGAGATAAACAAGAGAGAGTCAAGGCCGATCTTAATTGACTCCCACAACTCAGTCATTTAAAAACCAAAGGGAAGCAAATCGAACGTTCCAGCGAAACGTCAATAGCCTAAGCTGAGCCCTGCCACATACGGGCTGACGTCAACACACCGCTCACTTCTGACGGCTTTAAACATTCTAGCGCTTGTGAGAAACGCAATTGTCAGAAAGATATGGAACAAACACACTGTACCAAAACGTTCCTGGCAACAACATTCCGCGGCACTTGGCTCGAATGCGTAAAGCTAAGGGGTGATAACTATATCAAGACGGAACATGGCACCGAAGATTACCTCATGGATCGCGTGTACTTCAGCAAGCCCACTACACAGCCCACAATTAACTTTTCCACCACTCACGCCAGGTGGTGGTGCATTGCTTCACTGTTACACTGTCTAACCGCCTATCGAATATGGTGTTCAACTGCGGTGTCTTTCTCTCAGACTTTGACAAACAGACCAGCTCTATGGTGGCGTCTCCTCCCCTTGTCCACCACGCAGAACAGTTGTATGGCATTGCTCCACTAGTCCAGTCTACCACACAGACCAGCTGTATGGTGGTGCCTCACCGACCTTGTCAACCACTCAGACCAGCTGTATGTGGCGCCTCACTCACCCTATCCACCACGCAGACCAGCTGTATGGTGGTGCTTTACTCACGCTGTCCACCATTCAAACCAGCGGTATGGTGGTGCTTCACTCATCCTGTCCACCACTCAGACCAGCTGTATGGTGGTGCTTCACTCACCTTGCTCACCACGCACATCAGCTGTATGGTGGTGCCTCGCTCGCCTTGTCCATCGTGCATACCAGCTGTATGGTGGTGCTTCACTCACCCTGTCCGCCACACAGACCAGCGGTATGGTGGTGCCTCGCTCACCTTGTACGCCATGCACACCAGCTGTAGAGTGGTGCCTTGCTCACCTTGTCCACCACGCACGCCAGCTGTATGGTGGTGCTTCACTCACCCGTCCACCACGCAGACCAGCTGTATGGTGGTGCCTCGCTCACCTTGTCCGCCGCGCACACCAGCTGTATGGTGGTGCTTCGCTCACCCCGTCCACCACGCAGACCAGCTGTATGGTGGTGCATCGCTCACCTTGTCCACCAAGCAGACGAGCTGTATGGTGGTGCTGCACTCACCTTGTCCACCACACAGACCAGCTGTATGGTGGAGCCCTGCTGTACGTGATACTCGGGTCCGCTCGGTATTGTCGCCACCGGCTGGAAGACGTGCAAACGCACAAACCGGGACACGTAGCCGGAGCCGGACGACACCTGAAACACAGCACAGCAAAGGTTTCGACACTAGCTTAACGGGCAGCGCCCGCATTGAGGGCCTTCACTTCAAAGGGAGTGGGCCACTTTTGTACTTTTCACTTATTGTTAGATCAGATGCGTACGATTTTATCAGCAATTCCAGTTTCCCCGGAATCGGTCTGAACAGCTCAGGCTTATTTGTAGTTGCTGCTCCGGCGGCGGAGATCTCTGGATAACCCGCTCACGACTATGAAAGTAATGCACTGGATTTGCCTTGCTTTTCCAACGTGCGTGCTCCGTAATGTTTCTAGCACACTAAGTTGTCAAAATGTTTGGGTAATGAATGTTACGAAAGCTTGAAACATTCTATTTAGACAGAAATATATGCGAACATGAAGCCATTATCCCGCAAATTCCACGAAACGCTTACTATGACTTTGATTTCTCCTCTAAGGCGTTAACTACGGTGACTCTATTCGAAGCGCACCTTTGTTTTAAGAAACGGAGTATCACATGGTTTTAAGTGACGCACTGGTTCAAACTTCAACCAATACGCTTCTCGGTAACTGCCATTAGCCGCTGGCTATGCCAATTACGAACATTCGTTTGTGCTGACGTCATTCAGAAATAGATGACAGCGGCCCTCCAGCAGATTCTGTCGCCATCATGACGACGACGGTCGCAACTGCAGGGAAGAAGCGTAGTGCTGTTACAAAGCCTTGACAGCATAATTTGGACTGCAAGCTGATTAAAATTCATATCCTTATTATGTCTTGATGATGCTGCACTGGCACTTCCCAGTGGCGTTGCTAGACGTCAGTATTCCTGGGGTTTGACTATAATAAATTTAATTTAAAAAATCCACAGGGCTGGGACACTCGTGTAAATAAAACTGATTAAGATGTGATTAGCCGGGACCGCAGCACAGATCTTCAGGGCTGGGACGCTCGTGTAAATAAAACTGATTAAGATGTGATTAGCCGGGACCGCAGCACAGCTCTTGAGGGCTGGGACGCTCGAGCAAATATATATCATTAAGATGTGATTAGCCGGGACTGCAGCACAGCTCTTCGGGGCTGGACGCTCGTGTAAATAAAACTGATTAAGAAGTGGTTAGCCAGGACCGCAGCACAGCTCTTTAGGGGTGGAAGCATTTAGGGGAATGTTGAACCTTTGGAAATATTGAGGTAAGCATCACGCATGACGAGAAAAGCCAGCTTGTAGTCATTGGTATGCTGTTAACTCGAAAAATTCCCTTTAACTATTTATCAAATATGGTTCTCAATATGTCATTGTTTGCTTACGTCACAGAACGTTTTGATGATGTAAGGGTCGCTGTCAGACTGTCGATGTCAGCATTACCACTGTGACTGACGGGCTGGCGTACTCAAAGTTCTTCAACTGGAGAGAGAGGTGACCTGTTGATTGATGCGTGTGCAGTAATCTGAATATGTTATGTGCGCGTGTTGTGGCTGTTTCTCGTGATATGTTTGCATAGTTTTCCATGGTTTTATACCGTTTATGCTCATTCCCATTCTCGGACAAGATGCCTTTCCTAATCTATTTGATTCCCAGCCTCATTTTCGTCATAACCGACAGCACGGCCAAGATTCATGCGTTATGTGTAACACAACGTGGCTGATGTTCAAAACTTGCATTTATGCGTTAAGCTGGCTGAAAGCCAATTGTCACGAGAAACATAACGAGGAAACAGAAACATCACGAGTACCCACGAAACTTTAATTTGTGCTGTCGTACTACAGTAGCGCATAAGCTAATAGTCATACATTTCTCGACCTTAAACACAATATGGCCATTGAGGGGCGGAATTCTTGCGACGTTTCTGTGACGTCATGCATATAAGTGCGAGCTCAAAAAGAGGGGGGGGGGGGTGCGAAATAGTCTACACAAGCTCAGATACAAGAGAATTTTAAGTCTTAAAAAGGAATTGCTATGAACTTCAGAGAATGGTCTTGAAAATGATTATCTCTGTTACCAACCCAATAGAAATGTGGAACAGCCCCTTTAACGTACCAGCGCACTGTAATTTCGGAATCTCCTTTGCATCATCTACAACCACAAAATCAAGCGATTTTCACCAGCAGCCCATGACAAGACGATTTTCATTGTAATTCGTCAAATCGCTCTCAAATTTCAGATGTCGTCGGATACAAAGTCAATGGCGCATGCCTTTGTCCGGCTGCCTATCGCTGTAGACAGTACCGGTGCCGGATGTGACCCCGATGTGACGGCCGAGCTGGTGCGCGGTATTGGCCGCCTGGTGACACCACGTCTGGGGTCGCCGGCAGACCCACACCCCGCGGAGCGCCTCTGAACAGACCTGCGTCATCTGCGGGAGTCCGCTGCCAACGTCGCGCAACGGTGGCGGGCGCGGGCGCAATCGGTTGGTTCTCCCGTCTTGAGAGTGCTCGTTAAAACTTATGGGAGTTGCGAGTGTTGAAACCTCAACGTCGCTTCCTACATGTTACCTGCTGTCACGATGGAACCAGTGCCCAGCTCTGCCGACGATGTAAGATGTCTATCTCGTCCAGACTGTCTGAAGATGCTTCCTTTGCTGAGCCTGATGCTGATCCAGGTGGTTTGCTGGTGAGCTTGACACCATTTTCAGGAGTGAGTGGGATGACTGGTGCTGTACGAGCAGTGCGTTCGTGTGACCCAGCGCTGACACTGGGTTCCTTCAGAGACCCAGCGATGACACTGGTTTCCGTCAAGGCCCTAGCGATGACACTGGTTTCCGTCAGGGCCCCAGCGATAACATCAGGCTCCCTCAGGACTCTAACCGAGTTTTTACGAGCCCCCGCGGCACTAGCGCTGCCCCCATGAAGGAGTTTCCGGTTTCCACAGCCCAAAGTTTATCGTAAGTTTGCTGACTTAGCTGGAGATAAGACACATATTTTGTCAATAAACTACTGAATTATCTCAGTAACCAAAATTGTTACGGGCATGCATAAAACGTAGCTTTAAAGCGCATATGTAATTTGAAGCATGCGTAGCCGATCCCATTTGTGAAATGGCTTCGGTTTGGTCAAATGACTTTTCTTCTTCGCTTTGCTATCAAGTGTCCTCCCGTTAACGTTATTGGTAGTCGCCAATATCAAGTTTCAGGGAAGATTCCGAAGATATTTATATAAACCTCCAACATGCAAAAGCGGTTGCTGTTTGTTTCGCCACACTACCGACGCCATTGGCGCCGGAAGCGCTACCACCAACGACGTAACGTTGACTCGCGTCTCGCTCCCGTAACGCTTATGAGTCCCGCGGACACATTGCCCGTGCGGCGGTGTTGCACATACCGACGACATGGAATGTATAAATACACACACACATACGCACACACCCACACCCACACCCACACACACGCACACACACAACACATACACACACACATATATATATATATATACATATATATATATATATATATTTATATATATATATATATATATATATATATATATATATATATTGTTGTGGTCTACGATTACTTCGCTGCGCTAAGTGTCGCGCCGCCGGCGTCCGCGTATCACTGCCTCCAGCCCCACAGTTTTAATTTGCACCACAGTGATGCACGATGAATCCCGATAAGTTTGTTTAATTTTCCAATGCTTGTATCGCTTTGCAGTCTCTACGTGTGGGAGACGCTGCATTCATCGTTACTTGAGCTTTGCATCATGCTCTCGACGCCCTGGCCCAAGCCATGGTTAAACAACGTTTGACATTTGATAAAATATAGCTTCATCTCACTCACTTTGATCCAGACACCGGAGTGAGATGCATGCGCTTTTATATTGTAGATCTTCACGAAGGTTAAACACAGCGTACATGCAAATTTCACGTCAACCCGAGCATCCGTCTGTGCTATCTACCCAGAAAAAAAGCGGATAGAAGCAGAGAAAGACATATGCTCTTTTTTAATTTGGTACACGCAGAACAGCCCTCGAGCCTCTCGCTTTTGGAAATTAGGAGTTCGGATCTCTTATGCCAAGGACAATATAATGTCGGTATGTATTGAAGGTATAATAGGTATAATAGGTATAACGTATAATAGGAGGCATAATAGGAGGAGGAGGAAGGTTTAATAGGGGCTAAACGGTGCTATCAAGCAGACGTTGTTTATATTGTCAAAACTCATTTCAAACTCTGCTCATAGCCGCAAGTCAACAAGGTTAGGCAAAAAAGCAATGACAAACTAATGCATGGAAGTAACGCAAATCCTCTGAATTTGTGCGGACACTGTAACAAGATATCTGAATAACCATTAGTTCCAGCTCGCTCATCCTAACACCCACTACACGTTACTACACTTATGGCTGAACGAAACACAGGCCGCCAAGCTGGAGGGCTGTGATGACTCGTGCCGAGTAAATAATTAGGAAGTCGGTAACCACAAACAACAGACATCACGAACAATGCGTTAACAATGTTCCTGGCCAATGCCAGATCAGCAAAGTCATCGTGACACGGCCAATGGGTGAGATCTACTTTTTCGATCCGATGTTGGTAAAACAGAGGTGTATGTGAAATGTTCAACGCTATGAGTAACAACACTATGCCACAGCACACAACCTTACGCCATTTTATTGGCCATTGAATCAAATACTTATGTTACAGAAGCAATCGGCAGTTGGTCGCGAGTTCACCATTCATCATCATCATCATCATCACCAAGTTCATCAGAGAACACCATTCAAGGCGATCCTGTTCGTGTGGATGTAGCGCTCCACCATGTTTCGACGTGATGTGACATCATCACGTCGAATCACGTGACATCATCACGTGGCTATACCGTGGCGATGCATACCGGGCCAAAAGCATCCCCAGTAAAATTTGACTGGCGTGATGCGACATACACAAATACCACGTCTTTTTATACCTGGGGGAAGGGCACCTGGGCAACGGGCCGTGATAAGCAAAATTTCTGCCACATATGACACCGTATTATTTATGCGACGGAATGTGTGCTTAGATGACCGGGTGTGATCTTACCATTCACATTT